GAAAAAAGGTTATAAAAAAATAAAGAACCAAGAACATGTACGTTAACCGAAAACAATCGTCTGGTACCTTTTTCCAAAGTTGAAAGATGAAAAAAAAACGATGCGAGTTGAAAAACAACTAAATAAAGTGCTCCAAAACAATGAGAATCATTGCAGACCTAGTTATAAAGGTTTGCCAATATATATATATATATATATATATATATATATATATATATAATAGTCATATCAAAGAATAAATCAATAATTTCTATTTAAAATAATTAATGGCGAATGGTCTCTTCGCTAAAAAAGATTATGAAGGCATTAACTGACTGAAACTCGCTGAACGACACGATCCTCCAACAGATGTTTAGTCCATTAACTTTATTGATTTATTCTTTGAATGACTATTTTCTAGTATTTGTTAATTTATTATCTATTAGGTTATTTAAAATAATGACGTTCTATGTCGTTTTTAACGTTAAATAATACGTCAAAAAACGACATTATTCGTCATTATTTTTCACCATTTTATTTCTTATATATATATCTATATATATATATATATATATATATATATATATATATATATTTAATCGATCATTGTTGATTTCTTGTTACGATGTATCATTTTCATCAGTGTATCTAGACGTCTGATTGCTTATTCCGGGTTCAAAACTCGAACCATTTGACATCAGATAGAGACTCTTGCCTCTAGGTTAATGCTTTATATACGTGCTTATAAAGGTCATACTTGCTGCCATAGTGCTCCATAGTGCATTAAAGCAGCAGCCGTTAAAAATATCCCTTTTTCTTTATAGTGCTCATTCGGCGAACATATGTATATATATATATATATATATATATATATATATATATATATATATATATATATATATATATATATATATTGTGTATCGAAGCAGAAATCCTCTTTTATATAAGTTTCATTAAAAACGACTAATTATGGACGGCGGTTATGTTTTTTTTTATTTAATTTATTATAAATTATACGAATGCAAGAAAAATTAAATAATAAATTTAACCTCAGTACTTTGCCAATCTTTATTATGGAAGTTGTACATATATATATTTGTCAGCTTTCAATATACCACTTAACAGCCTTAGGCGCTTAGCCTTGAAGCGTGTAGAATGGAGCTGAACATGTTTTAGTGGACTCAGCAGTTTTCAATCTGCTTGTATGAATCATCTTCATGAATCGAGAGCAAGATCTAAAAGGCCAACCAATCTAACAGTGGTTTCATCTCACAATCCTCATTCTTGCTTCATATGTGGCCTCCTTTGTAAATTACTAGCGGGTCTTAAGTGTCATTTAATATTATTGCTCACGTCTTTGGTGTTCCACAACGTATGCTTCAGTTTAACGAATACTGTCTATGCTGTATTCTGGATTGTCCATTTTTCCATCAGAAGAGACTTTTGATCTAAGATATGTGAACGCTTTAACAGTTTTTAATACGGAAGGATTTATGAGAGATGGATTGCTTGGTACTGGCTGGTAGATTAGCTCAGTCTTCTTTTTGTGGATAGTGAGTCCAAATGCTTTTTCTGTTTCAGAGAAATTATCAAGGATAGTTTGAATGTCTTCTAGACCCTGTGCTAATAGAACGGCATCATCTACAAAGAGAAGATCGCGTACCAGCTGCAGAACAAAGTTTCGATTGTGCTTTAAAACTTTGCTAATTGTATAGACCTCCACTTCTTCTGAATTGAACACTGATTTCTTCACTTAAGTCAGAGAATGCTTTTACAAGCATAGCAGAAAAGAAAAGTGCAAAGAGAAGAGCAAGAACGCAAACCTTGCTTTGTACCGTTGGAGATAAAAAAAAAAAAAAGACGTCCGATTGCTCCCTTCCCGAACTTACAAAGCTTTCATTCCTTAGTAAAAGAAGATGGCCCTCGTTCAGGTCATCCCAAAACCTCAACCATTGATGTTGTTCATGAATTTTTAGGGAGCCAGAATCCTAGGCCGACATCAAAATGGCTCCACTTCTTCTATTATTTATGTATTCACCGTATGATTTTGCGTGGTTTTACTTACATAATTTACATTCTTCGGACTGTTATACTCGTCTTCATTGCCATATTCACAACGTTACGGTCGCTGTACGCCCTGGCCTTCTTCAGGTGATTAGAATTTCTATCCGAACCCTTTATTCTGTCTTAAGTGTTCTATTCATATCCACCAGTCTATTTCTCTCTCTATTTATTTTCATATCCATCTCTCTATCTGTCTATATCTCTGAGATGAGGTACTATGATTACTTGCATTATTTACATTTATCCTCATGTTCATTGCCATATTCACAACGTTTCGGGCGTTGTACGCTCCGGCCTTCTTCAGATGATTGGAATTTAGAAAACCCTTTATTCTATTTTAAAATTATATATATATATATATATATATATATATATATATATATATATATATATATATATAGCTTTAGTTAATAAAAGAAACTCTGGAGTCTGGATGCTGATTGATTTTATCTTAATCTTCCAGACTCAGAGGACTTAAACGGTTACATCATATATATATATATATATATATATATATATATATAATGGACGAATTACTTAAATTATTAGTCAAGTTGAATCAGACCAAGAAACAGGAGTATTAAAAAGTACTCAATACATGTGTGAGAAAAATAAAATAAAACTAAAAATAACATATAAGGCTCATTTTTAACTTTAAAAATCAAGAGATCAGTTAAATACACTAACTTGGTTTCAACCTTACGAGTATCCTCAGGCAATTTTCTTGGTAAAAAACCATGTGAGGATACCGTAAGTTTTGAAACTAAGGTAGGTAAAATAACCTTCTGATTCATATATATATATATATATATATATATATATATATATATATATATATATATGTGTGTGTGTGTGTGTGTGTGTGTGTGTATAAAGGACTAACGGACATATATTTTATCCCGACATTTTTTTTTATAATTTCAAACGTTATTTAATATATACTCGTGTTTTAAATAGACGACTCGTTTTTTTTTATTTTAAATGGTATATATTAAGTCTATCAGCAGACGCACTCGAGAATACGTACTAAAGAAAATGCCTATTCCGACAGGCTTCGCACCTGCGTCCGCCTTTGCAGGTGAAATATTTTTATTTGATTTTTGTTCCCACACTACAGCTATTAATTCTTTTCCTTCTTCATAGTAAATACATCGGATTTTCTTTTCGCTATGAAGTTCTGACAGTCCCAAAATGATGAAACTTCAAATGTTCACCCCAATCCGTTTGAATAAACCTTGAAATTGGCAAAATATTTCTCTATTTCGTCTTCTCGTCCTTGTTCCTTCACCAAACTGAAGGCGATATATTCTTTGTTTGCCAAATAGGTTTATTGGTAACGCAATTGATAATGAGTGCGAAGCTAGTATGTTTTCTTTTTTTTACTCTCTTTCGACCTCTTTTTCTTTCACTACTCTTAACTTACGTCTTTTTCTTTCGCTTTCCTTTGATCAACGTAATTTCGCTTCTTTTTTTTGGGGGTGGGGGAACAGGAGTAGAGGTTTATCCCTTGTTTCCTGTTCAGGACTGGATTTCCCGTTTCTTCAAAGGTTTACTTCAAATTTATACTTCTAAAAACCCCACATAAACTCTGCAATTTTATTTACTAATTATTTATTTATTTCGTTTTGTTCGTCCTTAATATGAGTAGATAGGTTTGCCTATCGTCCGGTTCACACTCCCCCCCGCTCTTTTGAACAGAAGTAGAGGTTTATTCTTTGTTTAATGTTCAGGATTAGGTTTCCGGTTCCTTCTAAAGTCTACTTCAACTCTATACGTCTAACGTCTTCCCCTAAGCACTGTAATTTTATTTACTTATTATTTTCTCCTCAGTTTGATTAAAGAAGCGACTATCACCAGTCTCATACTCCTCCCCACTCTTTTTAACAGGAGTAGAGGTTTATCCTTTGTTTCTTGTTCAGGATTGGGTTTCCGGTTCCTTCTAATGTTTTCTCATTCTCTTTTACACAGTATCCCCTTACGTCTTCGTGGCATCATCGCCTTGCCTGGGGTGAACTGATTTAAAAAAAAAAATTCTACACACAGTTGAACAGAACTATATTACATTCCTTTAAGAAAATAATGATATCTCCCTTCTGAACGCTTTGGGTGATCATGCAACTTCACAGATTCTGTGAAATGTCATGGTTTCCAGGGAAAAGGTTTTCCGTTTCTTTCTTCAAGGTTTTAAAGGCAGACGTGTGTTTTTCTTATACCGACTATCTGACAAAGCTAGAGAGTCCAGTCTACAGTGCTACTTAATTATACTAGGGGAGGGTTGTTTTGCTTTTATTCAAATTTCACTTTATCGTCTTCTTTAACAATTCTCTTCTTTCTTGATTCTTTTTTTCTTATTTATTTATATTTTTTTCCTTTTTATCTATCCTTTAGTTTTTTCTTCCTTTCTTTCTTTCTTTTTACCTTTCTTTCTTTCTAATAGACTTTTTTCTTTCTTTTCTTCCTGGATTCCTATAAATTCTTTCTTTCTTTTATTTCTTTTATTCCTTTTATGCTTTGTTTATTTCTTTCTTTGTTTTTCCACCTTACTCTCTTTCATTGTCTTTTTTTCTCTATCACTGTTCTTTTCTACATTTGTTTTATTTATCTTTCTTTCTTTCTTTCGTGATAGAAGATTATTGCTTTATATTTTCTTATTGGATTCTTCTTAGTTTTTCTTCCCATTTTTACTTTCTTTCATGATTTATTTTACTCGTATTCCAAGCAATTTCAGGATTAATTTATTTTTTCTTTATATTAATAAGTTATTCTTTCTTTCATTCTTCTTTCCTTCTTATTTAATGACATTACTTCTTTCTTTCTTTCTTTCTTTCTTTCTTTCTTTCTTTCTTTCTCACTGTTTAATTTCTACCTGAATCTTTGCCTGTTTTTTTGTTTCTTTCTTTCTGTACCATATATTTAATTTCTCCCCATATCTTTCTTTCTTTCTCTATTTTTTCTTTATGCAACATTCTTTATTTCTACCTCGGTCTTCTTTCTTTCTATCTTTCTTTCTTTCTATCTTTCTTTCTTTCTTTCTTTCTTTCTTTCTTTCTTTCTACGCCACTCTGTTCATTTCTATAACAGTCTTTGTTATCCCCCCACCTCCCTCTATCACAGTCTTTGTTTATGCCTAGGGCAACTTCTTTATTTCCCCCTTACTCTGTTTCATTATCTTTTTTCTCTATCCTTCTTTCTTTTTTCCTTCTTTCTTTTCTTTCTTTCTTTCTTTCTTTCTTTCTTTCTTTAATTTCTTTCTTTCTTTCTAGGCTAATCGGTTTTTTTTCTACATTATTTCTTTCTTTTTTCCTTTTTCTTTCTTTAAAACATTTTCTTTCTTTCTTTCTAGGCTAATCGGTTTTCTCTTTCTACATTATTCTCTTTCTTTCTTTCTTTCTTTCTTTCTTTCTTTCTTTTTCTAGTTTCCTAATCAGTTTTCTCTTTTCACATTATTCTTTCTTTTTTCTTTCTTTCTTTCTTTCTTTCTTTCTTTCTTTCTATCCCAAAAATCGGTTTTCTTTCTTTCTTTTTAATTTTCTTTCTTTTCTTTCTTTCTTTCTTTTTAATCGGTTTCTCTTCTTACATTATTCTCAGATTTTCCTCTTTCTTTCTTTCTTTCTTTCTTTCTTTCTAGGCCAATCGGTTTTCTCTTTCTACATTATCCTCTTTCTTTCTTTCTTTCTTTCTTTCTAGGCCAATCGGTTTTCTCTTTCTACATTATTCTCTTTCTTTCTTTCTTTCTTTCTTTCTTTCTTTCTTTCTATACCATACATTTCATTTCTACATAAATCTTTCCATATTTATTTTCTCTATTTCTACCTGTTTAATTCTTTCTTTTTTTCATTCTTTCTTTCTTTTTTCTTTCTTTCCTTCTTTCTTTCTTTCCTTTTCTTTCTTTCTTTCTTTTTTCTTTCTTTCTTTCTTTCTTTTTTCTTTCTTTCTTTCTATGCCATACACTTCATTTCTACCTCAATCTTTCCATATTTATATATTTTCTCTGTTTCTACCTGTTTAATTATTTCTTTCTTTTTCTTTCTTTTTTCTTTTTCTTTCATTTTCTTTTCTTTCTTTCTTTCTTTCTTTTTATTTTTTTCTTTTTTCTTTCTTTCTTGCCTACTTTCTTATTTACTTACCTATTTTCTTTCTTATTTACGTAATGATTTTTTCTTTCTTTCTTTCTTTCTTTCTTTCTTTCTTTCTTATTCTTTCTTTCTTTTTTTCTCCCTTTCTTTCTTTCTTTCTTTCTTTCTAATTTAATGTGCTATGTTGTTTAGCCATTTTCTTCCTATTTATTTCCTTTAATAATTTCTTTATCTATTCTTTTTACCATCTTGAATGTTTAATCATTTGTGACTCTTTTTTTTCCTTTTATTTTTTATTGCCATCTTTTCATGTTTTTATTGTTGCTTTCAAATTCTTTATCTATTTTCTTCCTTTATTTCTTTCTTGATTATTGCATTCTTTTTATCTTTCTTCTTCCCTCGCGACATTTTTTTTTTTTTTCTCATTCTTTTCAAGACTCTTCTTTTCAATTTTTCTCTGCTGATTTCTTTTCTCCATCATTCTTTCCTAACTTTCAGTCATTTCTTACCCTATTCTTTCTTTCTTTTTTCTTTCTTCCTTTATTCATTCTTCCTTATTCTCTTACCCTTATTCATTCTTCCTTTTTTTCATTCTCCCTTATTCTTCCTCTCTTTCTTTCCTTATTCGTTCTTTATTCATTCTCCCTTATTCTTTCTCTTTTATTCATTCTCCCTTTCTTTCCTTATTCTTTCTTCCTTTATTCATTCTCCCTTATTCTTTCTCCCTTTCTTTCCTTATTCTTTCTTTCCTTTATTCATTCGCCCTTATTCTTTCTCCCTTTCTTTCCTTATTCTTTCTTTCCGTTATTCATTCTCCCTTATTCTTCCTCCCTCATTCTTTCTTTCTTTATTCTTTCTTTTTCCTTACTTCTCTACATCCCGTTTTCTTTCTGCTTCCATATTATTTTTTCACGCTTCTTTTATCTATTTCTCTAATTCCCATGATTCCTTGCACATTAACCATTATTTATTTTTCGTCTATGCATCTCTTTCATTTTGACTTGCCCGCCACTCGAATCAACACAAACTTGCTTCTTTTTTTTCTTTTTTTTCTACAAACAGAAAGATCATCATTGCATTCACTAAACCGTCGATACGTTTCCATTCGTTGAAAATATTCTTTTCATGTCGTCACCCGGTCAAAATCCCCGGTATAAACACAACTGTTTGAATCATTTACGACAAAGGAACACCCTCCTTTCGCCGATCTTCCGCCATGTCTCACCAAGGGAAACTTTAAGACATTAGTACGCGTGCGCAAAGATTTGAAAGTTTTTCCTTGTATCAATCATTATTCCGATAATAATGGTGAGCGGATGGCATGATGGGACACGAGGGAACGCCTTCGACGATAATGACGCGAGAAAGAAGAAAGGTTCGGCTTATAAAATGCATTGAACCCACCGAGGGAAAACTGATAGAAAAACGTGAATACTTTCCCTATCTCTATGCAAACACCCATTTTCTTATGTACCCCGACATTAGTGCAAAAGCGAATGCAAGCGACTCTGGGCAAGTAAAAAATCCTTTGTGATTAACAGGCGCATGTCATAATGAAGTTTCTAACCAATAATAACGCCATAGTAAATTTTTTATCAAGGCTGGTTAGTTGGTACCAAGTGATTATATATATATATATATATATATATATATATATATATATATATATATATATATATATATATATTATAATAAAAGAAAGAACAGTAAGTTATATAATATGTTGTTCTTATTAATATTTTTATTTTTACGAAACAGTGCTCAATGTAAATTTATATGCATACATATAAATTAACTGATTCAAAAATATGGTTTCATCGCTACACAGGAATTACCAAGTTTCAAAAATAGAAACGAAAAACTTCAAATTCAATTATATAATTAAATTAAAGGCTCTATTTCTGTTTCATTTCAAGCGAATTTTGGAATAACTTATTTTGAAATTTACTGAGTTTTATAAGCACCTACATTCATAATATTTGTCTCCAAGGCTACGGGCAAATCCAATCATTTTGACAAGGGTCTGTAACGTGTTCATTTTGACTGCCGACTATTGTATCAAATATGAGTTACTTTGAGAAAGAGATTAAGTCTAGGTAGGGTAGGGGTGCATTTTTCAACGGATTATGACATCCGTTCAACGCATGTCGTCTGGTCTTTTTTCAACGTCAAAAAGTTTTTCGGTATTTTTATCCGTTAAATTTGTACTTGTATACATAAAGATTCTTTTTAAAAGGGGTGTTTGGATTAGAATACATTGTATTGAACAACAATTTTACAATAATATTTTTAGTTTTAATTATTAACAGACTATATCTCTTTTTAAAATAAATAAATGTAATAGAATTACTTAATTTATTTAAAAATTATTATTAAATATAAATATGTATATTACAACTCATTTTATTTATTTATTTATGCTTATTTTCAAATATTATTTAAGGAAAATTTGTGACAATGTCGGCAAAGAATAGCTATTTCATTTCTTTGATTCAGTATTTTTTTTTTGTTTTTATAAACCTAGTAATATATAGTTTTTTATATATGCATTAAAAATATTATATGGGTCATTTAATGACCTACATATTCTAGCTTTTCTTATTAATTTCCATTTTACTGTAGGTGTTTTATTGGTTTCTTTTTTAAATGCCATGAAATATTCCGATAGGGACGTCTGATTTCGGTATTTATTAATATTTCAATTATAGGTAATTTAAAAATATGGTTACATTGCTACACATCATGAAATTACCATGTTAAAAAAAACAGAAAATAAGATTAATGAAAATTCAATTATTTAATTAAATTAAAAGAAAAGTTGATATTCATTTTCATTTCATGAATTTTGCAAATAAACCTTGAAAAAGTACATTAGTTTTAAATTTCCAAACAAATTAATATTTGTTTCGAAAGGTTACTGGGAAATCCAATCATTTTGACAAGGGGTTGAATTTTGCCTGTTCATTTTTTAATTGCCGATTTATTTTGTATCAAATATGAGTTAACAAAATAGGTCATTTGCCTTTAAAAAATTATGACTGAATCCATTCAATAATGTCGTCTGGTTTTTTATCAACGAGAAAAAAATTTTTCAGCGTAACTTTCTTCTGTTAAATGTAAATTTGTATGCATATAAATTCTTTCTAAAAATTATGTTTGAATTAGAATAAACAATGTTAAAATATTTTTTAATTTTAAAACTATACTACTCTATCAAAAAATAAAAGTTAAATATATTTAAGAAAACAAATGTAATAGTTTGATAAATTATTTAAATATATATATTTTAAAATTCTTAAATTATTTAAATAATATATACATATATTTAATATTTAAATATATATATATATATATATATATATATATATATATATATATATATATATATACAAAATTATTTAAATATAAATATATTGTTATTATATTATTTATATATATATATATATATATATATATATATATATATATATATATATATGAAAATTAAAAAAATAAAAATAATAAAAAAGTGAACAATATTTAAAATATTATTTTTTTTTTAATTTTTAATTACTAATAGACTATACTACTTTTTTAAAATAAATGTAATAGAATATTATAATTTTTTAAAATATATATATATATAATAATGTATTTTAAATAAATGTATATTCCTATTATATTACAATTTTCTAATTTTCCATGGTTAAAACCATAAAATTAAATCGTAATAATGATTAATTCATCAGACCTAAAAATTCAAAAAAATATTTTTTAATTGTGAATATATAGGTTATAAATATATATATATTTTCAAATTAAATATCCTTCTTTTAGTAAATTTACGATAATTATTAAATAAAAAAAACGTTGTCCTGCTATTTAACCCAATGGCTTAAATAAGGGATTCAATCAATTTAAAATTTCCCAAGAATATTAGCACGTAAATTTGAATGATAATGGATTTTTAGGCCTTAATTGGAACTCGTTATAATATGATTCCACAATCCAAGTTTGAAACACATCTATACTTAAAATGAAAACCGTGCCAAAAAGGGGGGGTTTCTTAGGGACCTTGTTGGCAGGTAGTGCATCAGGTCTCCGAAATATTCAGGCCTTCATAAAATGTTAACAAACCATGGTCCTGCGAAGTATTCACCATTATAATCAAATTTCATGGCCGGTGTATTTTTTGTCCGTTAATATTTCAGAAACTGATTTGACCTTGACCCTCATACGTCGAATGGAACGAGAGATATATGATATATATATTCTAATATATCAAATCATTGGCTTCCCATGTACATTTAAAATCAATCAATTACAGAAAGGGTTACAGATTTGTGTAAAAATAATAAGGAAAAGCGAAACATTATTAAACCTTTGAGAAATTTATAGATTTGTGTGTTTTGAATCGATAAATATTGATTGATATTACATTTACATTTTGTAGATCAAATTTTATCCTGATTAAATGAATTCAAGATTTTTGAAAATAAGTAAATATATAAATTAAAAAATATTTTTAAATAGAAATTATATATTACATCTAGCTAAATTAATTGCATAAATTTGAATGCGCTCGAAACTTTTAAAAAAATGAAATTCTTTTTAAAATCTTCAAGGCCATTTCAAATTTAATGATCGAATAATTCAACATCATCCTTGAAATTTTTATATCTGTCAGTATTTCCCTCTTTTGTCCATTGTATCATATTTTAAAAGCTTTCCTTTATGATTATTTGCCTGATAAATGAAGAGCCACTGTTTTTCTTAATTTATATTTTTTTCCTTAGCTTCATTTTTTTATAAAAAAAAAAATCAAAAAATCATCCTGTTATATGTTTAATCCATTTATTTCTTTTTAAACTTGAAATGAATACAAAAAAAAAATTCTCTTCTGAAATAAAAATTTGATTTTCTTTCATGGTGCTCAGTTTTTTTAAAAGTCGATTAAAAAGATTTATCCATGAAATCCGTAATGTTTTTTTTCATTGCAAAACATTTTGCAAAGGTAATATATTTTTGAAACCTGTTATATATATATTTTTTTAGATTTTATTGATATATATATCATTATATATATATTTAAGAAAAAATATTTTTTATCAGTGATAAATTTATACCGCAATTAGTCTGAGTGAGTCTGGTAAATAATTTAAAGTGAATGGCATGATGGGACAAAGCGGAAAATAAAACAACGATAATGACGCGAGAAAACCATACGTACAAATGGACCGGATTTTTTCACCTTCATAGTTTTTTTTTTTCACATATTGAAGCCAGTCGAATGTTCATAGATATACAAAACTAAAAACAAACTGAGGATAAAAATTAAATTTACGAATGTTTTCTGAATCCGCGTACTGGGAAGACGATAAATTGCGTGTTTTGCATCCTTAGGAAGATGAAATAAACATCCGCGTAATTGATTATGACGATAAACTAAATCCGCGTCCTGGGAAACAATCAGTTTCTGCAAAAAAATTGGGGACGACGATAAACAACATGGCACCTCCTGGGCAAGACGAAAACTTTTTCCATTTTGATGAGGAAAACGATAAACTACATCCACGTCAATTTCAAAGACGATAAATTACATCTGCGTCAAGGTAAGACGATAAATATATTCACGTAGATGGATAAGCCCCATATCAAATATATTTTGAGGAGCGATGAACCACCTCTTAATTGCTGGTGTTCCCAGGTGATATTGAAAACGTGGTAGCACCTTTTAGGGTGAATTTTATGGGAAAATATAGTTAAACAATCAAACTACTATTCAATACATTTAACGCTTTAAAAAAATAGGTTTTAATACTTGCAATATTTTTTTTTTAAGAAAAATTATTACCAACAATACATTATTACAGACAATGAAGAAGAAATTATATAGCAATACATTTTTGGAAAAAAATGTACCAACAAAAAAATCCAAAATGCATTAAATCTTCAAT